ATATATATATATATATATATATAATTACAAATATGATATTAGACATTTCCAATTACAAAACTCTTATCCAAGAAGAATTTTCACTTATTTAATCAGTTCCTTTGAGGAAAAAAAATAGGTTAGTTTGTTAAAAAAAAAAATCAGTAGCATAAACTCGTTTTTACTTGTAGGAGAAAACAACAATTTCAACTACTCGTCAAGAAATCGTTAAAACTGAAGGCTGTGTCTTAAAAATATTTTGCGCTGACGGTGAAATTGATAATAAAGCATTGGATGCCTTAAACGCTTCATTAGATAATCTATCATTTTCTTTAGATTTTTACTAAAGGCTTATCTTCTTACTGAGTTTTACATTTATTTAAGAGACGAAACCAGATATATTTAAATATATTTTTTATTTTTTCATATAAAAAAACATCTTTTAAAAAACAAATCCGCGAAAAAAAACTTCAAAGTAAACAATAATTTGGGACCGGAGTAAAGTGACACCACGGTGAGTCCATTCATTCCCCAATAAGGACTTGCGGTCGAAACATTACCCTGTTTAGAGTTTACACCATTTTGTAATAATTCTTTTGTCGTTGGCGTGCGTATATAAATTACCAGCTAATACAGTGGACTAGATCAATCACTCAACTATTATTTATTTTAGAATCAATTTCTTAACTGCTAATCCATGCCGACAAATGAAGACTTCGTTGAGATGAAATGGTCTTTTTCATAGGCTCAGTCCACCATCACTAGGTATCATATGGTGCAGTTCATTTGTATATAATTTTTATGAATCAACAATTAAATATGCTATTTTTCTTTCTCAGCACACGTCTCAGTGTCTCTATAAATGCAACTAATGTGGCCATAGAAAATCAGATAAATTCCAATACATAATATCAGTCTCAGCAGTTATCAGTCATTACATACTACTATTACTCAATAAAATGGCATCTCGATGCTATTTCTCTGTTCTTCTCCATGCCTTTGTGTTTGCAACTGTTGCAACCTTAGGTTTCTCTCAGTTGACACCTAATTACTATGATTACTCTTGCCCCAATGCTTTGAGCACCATCAACAGTGTGGTAGAGGCTGCAGTGCAGAAAGAGAACCGAATTGGCGCTTCATTGCTACGCTTGCACTTCCATGATTGTTTTGTTAACGTAAGACTCTTCATGCTTGTGTTTATATGTATCTAGGTTATACAAAACAAACATATGTACGTTGATAATTTATGCATGTGTTCATATATACATCTACCACTATTCTCTTTTCTCTTTTCATGATGCATATTACCTTAACATGTCCTTTTTGTGACGGTGATTCAACAGGGTTGTGATGGTTCAATTCTTCTGGACCCTTCACCCACCATTGACAGTGAAAAGAATGCACTTCCAAATATTCAGTCTGTAAGAGGATTTGAAGTTGTGGATGAGATCAAGCAAGCTGTGGACCAAGCATGTGGAAAATCAGTCGTTTCATGTGCAGACATATTGGCTATTGTCGCTCGTGACTCTGTTGTTGCGGTGAGTAATTAATGGATTGATTATTACTAATTTTCACGCAAAATGCTGAATTGGTTAAACGTTAATTACTGTATAATTATATAAAAATTAATAGATTTATAATAGATTATAGTTTATTATTGAATAGTATACAGAACTGGTGGATGCACTAATTCATGTTTATGTTGTTTCAAATATATATAAACTTTTAGTTTTATATATCTTTGTAAATATAGCAGGTTTTTTTTTCTTACTAATTTTTTTAAATTGATAAAATATTTAAAAATGTTCTTAATTCATACAATTGCAATGAAGAATTGAAATCTAGACATAAAACCGACTTCAATCTATTTATTATTGTGCTTACACCATTTTGAATTGAATTAGTCGACAGGGAAATGTTTATATGATGAAATGTATTTCTCTTCCCTCTTGGGATAACCTACCAAAGTCAAAAGCCTAATACATGTAATACAGAAACGTCATAGAATAATTTTATCACTTTCTAGGGATACATACACCAAGTCCAAATAACCCATTGGGTGAATCTCAACCCACCTATAAAAATATTTTGAACGTCACAGCCCATATATGGATTTTGAAACATAATCAATTGTTTATTTTTTTTAAATTTCTTTTTTTTTTGTAAATAAAAAATCTAACTTTTTTAATGATTAAAATATTTTTTAAAATAGATTAGATCAAATATATATTTTCATATATATATATATATATATA